ACTTCCCTCCACCTGAACACATCTAATGGGACAAAGATCACACGCAATTGTGATGCCATAAAATAAGCACTTTTATTTCATGCTTATAATGCAATATTTCCCATTTGCCATTGAAAATTTGACTCACTAAATACCCTGATTAAAGTGGGTAGTGGTACATGTTTCAAGATGAACTCTATTACAGAAAGAGGAAACAGAAAAATCTCGAGAGCACTATTTGGCTTTATATGCCAGTGGGCAAACCCCTTCCAAAGACACCACACTTCTCTGTGCTAGTCCACAGGCATGACTATTGCCTACACTTCTTTATTCCCCCTGAGTAGTTTTGCACTGCTGCCAAACAACTTGACACTTTAAAATGATACTGGATACCTAGCACTTTGTCTAAAAGTAACTTGTAGAGCATTGCACACTCTGCTGCTACACTGGTCTGTCTGCCCTCACGGTCCTATAACACGGATGTAGGAATTAGGTAGTGTCACTGCCCTCAGCCAAAGGCCAACAGGAATAGGGAGACAGCCAGCTGTCGTGAGGTTTGTGAGGCATCTCAATAAGGGGGTTCTAGAGTGTGTTATTGTTTGGGGTTTTCTGCTGGGTGGTTTGAAGAAGTGCTTGAGGAAGCTTTGTTCATGATTGGAGGCTGGTGGGAAGAGATGGAGATTCTATGTTTGGATGTCTTAGTAAGTCTCATCTATATGGGTGGCAATAAGAGAGTAAGCTAAACTATAGAGAATAAACCATAGTGGGTAGGCTTGGCTCAGGGATGTTTGATCATTTTCATGGCTTGAATGATGTTCACATGTGTGCATGTGTACGTGTGTTCAGACATGATTACTCAGTCTTGCTTTTAGCTTGATTCATTCATGAATGTCCACAGAGTGATCTTGTCTGTGACAGTGTTCTATGAAACTGTTTGACAACAAGCTGAAGGTTCAGACCAGATGCCAGAAACACAAAGTCCTGCTGTGGATTGCATGCCAGATCCCAGGTGTCATGGTGGTTTTTCTCTTTCTCAGGGATAAAAAGAAGCTGGAGGGCTTGTCTGCAGTCACACAGCTAATGTACTGATGGGCCATGATGCTAAAACAATTCTTCCTTGTCCCTGAGTTTACTCATACAGTGGTGATACAAGCTTATGAAAGTCTATTTTATCTGCCTGATTTCCCAGGAGAGTCCCTCTGAGCTTCTTGGCAGAATCCATGGAGGGAAGTGCATTTAGTATGGAGAACAGTGCTGTCTGCTGATCTCAGTGAGACCCCATGCCTAATTAACTTACCTAATTTCAGTGGCAACCGGTTTCCCTCCCTTTTCCACATCTCTGATTGAGATGGGCTTTTGTTCACCTAATCACACCTATATGACCAAACAAGGCTAACTGATAATCTCCACTGAGGCTCATTTTAGAGTGTATCATGATTTTATGATACATGTTATTTCTCTTCTGTGACTCTATGCTGCGAGTGTGGAGATGAGAACTGTGCCAGCTTTGGGGCCCGGTAATAGGAGCTGCTCAGAATTTGTCTATTGTGTACATGTCTGGCCCTGGAAATAACTGTCAGTCTGAAACGCAAACAAACCCTGTTCTAACCAGATGCTTATCCCAAGACTTGAATTTAACAGAACAGTCTTTGTGGTGCAAGCACCCAGGAATAAAAAAGTCAAAGATGGTCATAGAGAGACCACCTGGTAAAGCTACCCTAAGACCCATCTGGAGATGTCCACAAGCCTGACTGATGTTCAATCATCATTAACAAAGTCTAGCCTTACATGGGTCAGTGAGCCATCTCTCCTCTGCCGAAGCTCCCGACACCTACAACAAAGGGGTGTAGAGCCTAACACAGGGTGTGGTTTTTAAGTCATGGACTGAATGAAGCAGATGATATCCTCGGTGAATGTGTCTTGTAGACATGTAAAGGAATGTTACTTAAACACTCAGACACACAGATGTTTGTCTCTGAGACAAACTCTGCAAACAGTTAACTTGCGCTGAGAAATCATTAAGCGTTAATGTGGGGTGCTGGAGAGCAGGCTCGGCAGCCAGAAGCACTTACTGCTCCTGCATAGGACCCAGGTTTGGTTTCTAGCACCCGCATAATGGATCCCAAGCATCTGTAACCCCAGTTCCCGGAGATCTGTTGCCCTCTTATGGCCTCTGCATGCACTTCATGGAGATGATGGCCATGAAACTCACAAAAGAACACAAATATAAAATTGGAAGACTTTTTTTTTTTTAACAAAAGGGTTCCTTTGGCCTGAAATGGCTCAGTGGTTAATAGTGTATGCTGCTCTCGCAGAGAACCTGAGTATGCTCCCCAGCACCCATGTCAAAGAGGCTCACAACTGCTTACAACTTCAGGTCCAGGAGATCTGATATCTTCTAGACTCCTCAGGTATCTGCACTCATAAAAGCATGCCTATATGCAGATCCGCACATATACACATAATTAAAAATAAAAAAATTAAAGGAGTTACTATGGGTGGTTTCTGTAAATCTCTGAGACTAGCAGACACATGTGAACATGGAAATTGCCCTGTCAGACACTGCCAAAGCCTGAGGACTGAATCCCCTGACTTCAGATACCCATGTTTTCCACCTCCTCTCCACACTATACCCAAAGGAAAATCTCCAAATCACAGCCTGACCGTCCCCTTGTTATCTGCTTTCACATGGCCTTCAGTACAAATACCAAACTGCTCCTTCCAGTCCCAGAGTCCCTGGGGTTCAACATCCTCACCCTCTAGTTTGCCCTGTTGCCTAGAAACAGATGTCTGCACACGTAGACCTGCATATCCATTCTGTCCTTCCTTCTTAGCTCCAGGCACTCAGCTCTGATTAGATGTCTGGTGTTATTGGTGTCTTTGTATATTCCTGAGCCACCTGCCCACTTAAACTTTTCATTTTCTTAACCTTAGTTTATCTGTTCCTCTGACTGTAATACTCAATAATGAAGAAATACTTGTATAAACACAGACAAGAATACATTCAAGGATATTCATGCTATTATTTTTTTTTTGCATTAGCAAGAAAATAGAGACATGTTCTTGAGTTGGTTAAATAATCTCTGTATATCTATTTTGTAGTTGTTGTGGACCTAGAAAAATGAAGACATGTCAGAATAGATAAACATAGAAAGGCCCTCATAGTATGCTGTACTGGGATCCCTAGGGGTTAATGGCGGGCATATCACTGCACCATGAATCTCTCTTGGAGAAAGGGATAGATGGGCAGGAAATTTCATATTCCTGGGCTTTGGTTCCTCAGTAGCTCAGGACTCCCAAATAACCCTTAGCTGAGTGATGAAGTCATATAACGAATGCACATCCTGCTCGTCTCTAATCAAAATTGTCCATTGTTACTTTGAGAAGATCAGATACAATGAAGAGTTTCCACAAGGCACTGTAGATGCAGAGGAAGCCATTGCAGTCTTCCTACATCTACTCACCATTCACAAACCCTGCAGTCCAATCCTTAACTTGCAACCAATTCATTCTTTGGCTTGTAATTTTTCTTAGCTGTTTGGATTTCACTTTCTTTCTCATACACTGAAGAAAAGGGGACAAAAGTGGCCTCCTCGGACTCTTTGGTACAGGGTGTTAGTCTACTACTGTCAAAGGGTGAGCAATTTTAGTGAAAGTAACAATTGCCATACTTTTTTTTCAATTCATTTTATTGCTTTTATTTTTTTATTTTTTTACAGTTCAGCCATTGTCCCCTCCAAGTCCCCCATCCCACAGATCCTCATTCCATTCTTCCTACCTCCCAGTCTTCAAAAGGATGCCCCTCACCCCCATCAGGCCTCCCTGAGGCCTCAAGTCTCTGGAGAGTTAGGTGTGTCTTCTCCCACTGAGACTTTTTAACGATTATAAACACTGTTCTTCAGCTCCAGAGAAGCAACCTCCAGATGCTCCATCTCCTGCTACACACACAGTTGCTTCTACTGGACCTGTTCCTTCTGGCCTATCCTCAGATGGCTCCATAGACCCTGGACGTCAGAAAACAGCCAGCTCTCCTAAGACTTGACAAACAACCCCCGTATCCATTCTTCTAGGTTCCCCCTAAAGACATGTTGCCCCCAATGCCAGCAGGAAGTAGCCAGATTTTATGACGACCCTATTCCTGCTTCGCCGCCACCTCTTTCTAATTTTTCTTTTTAATTAAACCAAAATGTGGGAATGTTAGTAATCTGTTAAACTCCACCTCCACCGTCACTTGGCAACAGCCAGGTATGCTCCTCCCCACAGTTACCTGGCAACAGCCAGGTAGGCCTGCCGACTATAAAAGGGGCTGCTTGGCCCCTCCTCTCTCTCTTGCTCCTCGACCCAGCACCTGATTGCTGTCTTCCTTCCCCCCTCCCCTTCCCCCTCTCTCCACCTGGTCATGGCCGGCCTCCTCTACTCTCTCTTTACTCCTCTCTCTCTCCTCCCACTCTCCCACTCTCTTAATAAACCTCCCCTCATGGAAAAAATAAAATAAACACTGTTCTTATGTATACTAGCCAGTCTATTATAACAACTCCACCTATGCAGTTAACACTATTACCTCTACTTTATGGAAGAAGACACTGAGCTCCAGAGATAAAGTATATTGCCCCCAAATCACAGCTAGGGCCAATATCCAGGCAGTATGGCTCTAGAATCAGTGATGATAACGACTCTGTGATGTTGCAGTGGAGGGTCATTGTCTTGCTGCTTAATTGTTCATTTAAAAGATGGTGTTGAAGGCAAAAATATGAGAAGCCAAATATTAAAACTGTAGCTGGTAAGATTGTCTATGTAAAAGGCCAAATGCAAAAAGGGAGGAAAAGTTCTATTCCTGTACATGAACATTTTAGGATACATTTCTTCTATATGCTATAATGTGGTTCTATCTACATAGTTCCATGTAACAAAAAAATGCATAAAAAGATGTCTCTGCTATGATATTCTTATGAATTTTCTTCCTCTAAAAATAACAGCATCGATTGCACCCTACATTGATGCTCTTGATTTTAATTTCACAGATGAAAGAACTCGGTGTCATCTTCTACAACTGCAGCTGCCTGGTCCTAGATTTACAAAGGATATTTGCTTTATATAGCTCATTAAAATTCAAGAGCAGAGTACCTCAGACCTGGTCCAAGAGACTCTATGGAGTCTATGACAATGAAAAGAAGCTTCAGCTCCAATTGAATGAAACCAAGTCACAGGCCTTTGTGTCGGTGAGTCATGCTCCTTCACTGCTATATCCTCCAACTTTTGTCTTACAAAGGCTCTGTTTCCTGGCCTCTCTACACTCCATCAGGCTCCCCGTCACATCTCAACCTCAGCCTTTTTCTTTCTGTCTCTTCCAGTTAGCACTGCTCATGTGGGCATGGGCAAGGCCATTGAGTAGAGCAAGGGCAGCATACCAAAGGCCTTTGAGGAAAGCTGACCCTTCCTCCCCTAGACACCATGAACAGCCAATAGTCTCAGTTAAGGGTGGTGCCTTGTGAACCCCTCCCCCATCCTGGAATGTTGACTGGTGGGTCAATCATGCATGTGTTACAGACAATCACAATTGCTGTGTGAGTTCATAAGTAAAACATCCAGAAGATATTGACATCTCTTGTCACATCCAGAAGATATTATTGTTCAACAGTCCCCACTGACCTGTGACTCTTACAATATTTCTGCACTCTCTCTTGAAATTTCCCTGAGCTCATGTGGATGGAGTGATAAAGAAGACACTAAAACTTTCTAGTGGTACAAAGTTCATCTCATGGGAAGCATCATGGAGGCCCCAGCTCCTGGGGATTATTAATGCCACAGCTAATGAGCCCTTAATCCATGATTTCCAGATGTATCTAAGAGTAGAACCCTTATAAGACAAATCTGAGGCAACCCAATATGTAAAACAGACAAAGCCAGTGCTGATACTTGGGGCAGGCCAGCACAAGGCTACCCCTGATGTCTGAGGCTTCTCTGACTCTGGTGAAAACTAACATTCCATCCTCATCCCATGTCCCAGTACCCCATTACCCACCCGATAAAGCTGTCACTAGGAACTGGGAGTGTATATATCTGGGCCTCCAACCCTGGTCTTCAAACTCTAGAACAACTAAGAATCAGCTAGGGAGCATTTTATAGTGTAAATTTATAGGCCCCCAAAGTCACCCTGGATCTCACCCACAGAATGTGGGGTGGGACTTCACTAGTCTGACCTGGGTCATACTCTTGAGTTCATCCTGATGCCTGGCAAATGACTGTTGTTCTTTGTTCCTGGATGGATACCAGGGGTTTATGTACTCCAGAGTGGAAAACTACATCCTCTTTACCTTTTCACATGAAAGCACTCATGATCTGAATATCCAGAAGACAGTATAAGATGGTCAAAAGGAGGTTGAAGCTGTTTGTCTAAAATAAAAAATTCACATAAATGTGAAGAGCAGAAAACAGATATGAAGGATTTCAGTGGAGCAGTGAGACTATTTTTTAAGGTGGAGAATGCAGTAGCAAATAGAACCACTACAGGAAGCCTTTTAGAAGAAGCACTTTCACTGTTTCTCACGATAACAAAAGTACTAACGTGGACTCCCATTGTTCAGAAGCAGCAATGGGAAACAAGGTCCCTCAAGCAAGGGATCCAGAAAAATAGATTAGAGGCAACAAGAAATAAATTAACAAATGAGCAATGCTTTGGGCTATTGTATAGCTTGATTTTAAGGTGTGAGTCTTAGAGGTAAGCAATGTTTGGTCTACATTTAAAAGGGAAGTCTTGCCACTGTTGATTTTGTAAAGTTATAACCGTGCTATAGCTACCACAGAGCACCCTGGGTCTTTAGTTAAACCCTTTGAAACTACAAGGTCTTTGGTGGTTTGATTGATTGATTGATTTTATATTTTGAGAGAGTCTAGAACTAGCTCTGTAGATCAGGCTGGCCTCAAAATCACAAAGATCTGCCGCCTTTGTCTCCTGAATGCTGAGATTTAAGACATATGCCACCTGTGCTACCACCACCTGGCTGCAACATCTTCTGAGCCCTGCACATTAGAAATGACAGTGAAATCTTTCCTTTAGTCTAAGCAACCTTAAAAATTGACTTTTCATCGAAGAGATAGCCAACCAATGAACTGAAAAATACATATTCTGGTAGTTTTTTTAAAATTACATAATGTTTATTTTCTATTTCCATTTCTTAAATTTATCATTTTATTTTTTCATTCATAGTATTAAATCTACCTTTAATTTAAATCTGATTGATACTGAATAAAAACTGGATTTGGCTATTTATCTTACAGAATTAGTACTGATAATCTATAAAGACCTCAAAAATTAAACACCCCAAAACTGTATCATCCAGTCAACAAATAAGATGAGTCAAGCAGACGGTTTTCAAATGAAGAAAAACAAATGGCCAGTAAAAATTTGTTCAAAAAAATAATCAACATTTTTAGCCATCAAGCTAATCTCATGAAGAGATTTTTTTTCCAGTTAAAATTCCCTCTTCCTGGGCTGGAGAGATGGCTCAGTGGTTAAGAGTACTGACTGTTCTTCCAGAGGTCCTGAATTCAACTCCCAGCCACCACATGGTGGCTCACAACCATCTGTAATGGGATCTGATGCCCTCTTCTGGTGTGTCTGAAGACAGCTACAGTATACTCACATACAATAAATAAATAAATAAATAAATAAATAAATAAATAAATAAATAAGATTCTCTCTTCTCGATGTGCTTAGTCCTTCAACAACTTGATGTCTCAGGGTGGGGCAGTACCCAAAGGAGCAGGTACTGAGAAGAGGGGTTTATGAGGATAGGACTGAAAGAAAGGGGGGGAGGGTGTAAAGTGAATAAATAAATAATGCAAAAGAGGTTAGAAATCAAAGAAAAAAGTAAAGTGAATTTACAGCATTTTATTTATGTTTTTTAGACAGCTGATATTGAACTCACTGTGTAACTTGAGAATGGCCTTGAACTTCTGATCCTCCTGAGTGCTCTGATTGGAGGCCTATGTATGTATATATAAAGAGAAAGAGTATACAGTTTAGATCTGTGTGTGTACATACATATGTATATATACATTTGTCTATATGTATACACACACACATACACAAATAAACCTGGTTTTGAGTAAATATCAAGTCTTATCTCTATTTAAAAATATCTCAGAGAAGTCTTACCATCAGAACTGGCTCCTTGCTCTCACCCTGGTGTTTACCAAGACTTTGTAATTATTTGTTTATGATGATTTCCCTGTAATTCTGTAAGGCTCTGAAAATTCCACACCCTCTTTATAACTGATATTTCCAGGACCCAACTCAATGCTTTGAAAGCAGCAATAAATAAATAAATAAATGTTAGGCTGAGTTTATTGGTAGTGATATTGGTGGGAAATTACAGAACATATATAGCTTTTCCAGTAATATGTGGCAAGCAAATGCCAAGACAAACTAATTTAAGTTCAATATATTTGTTGTAAAATAAAATCTTAAAATAGTACTTCATATTTTTGGAAGCTAACAGTCCCAAAACTAAGTTGAACACATGCAGAGAACGTGTTCTGAAGACTTGGAGAATCCTCAGCCCTAAAAATTACAGTTTTGATGGTTACTAACTCAATACAATTAAATATCAATTTCCAGTTATGATACAGAATTTTGATTATTCATAATTCAGCTCAATTAAATACAAATTTTCAGTTAGAATATAAGTAGTGATTATTTATAATTTTCTCATGAACCACAAATAGGTACTTGGTTAGAATTACTCGTATGACTTCTAGTGACTGGGTTCCAGATAATTGTAATTATTGTATATTTGAAGTAATGTACTTGAAAAAATTTACATTTGCTTTCTAGGACAGAGCTTAGTTTGTCCACAGTCTGCTTAGGTTGATCTGTGTGTGAGGTAGGCTTTATTTCTTGTTCTTATTCCGTTCAATTTCTCATTCATCATGGAGACTGAGCTGTATTCCTGAGAGGGTTAGGCACTGAGAAGAACTTATGTCTGCCATGGGAAAAAAATATGCCATACTCCTTCTTAAGGCTTCCCCTTTATTTTAATGCTCACACTTTAACACCTCTATCGAAATACAAGTTAGTTACCATAAACTTCTGCCTTCTATAGCTCCATGACCTTTGTGGTGTGCCCACAAGCTTTGCAGTCATCGACACTGTCAAATTTCAGAATGCTTTCTTCACCATAAGGGAACCCTCATAATCATTAGCAGTTACATCCTGTTTTCCCCTCCCTGGGCCCTAGAAATTTCAGACCCAACTTTCATGTATATACCCTCCCAGGGAGATTTTTGTCTAACTACTACAGTATTAAAAATGCCTACCATCTTTCTTCACCCTTACCCCTTCCAACCCCACAACACTGTGTGGGAGAGGTTAGAGAGGAAAGGGGGTGTCTATGTCATTAGACTACTTCCTGCTGATTAGGACATCAAGTTCCTTGGGACAAGTTCAATCTTCATTGTCAGGATGTCCAATTTTTTCTTCTAGTCTCTTTGCTCATGACCACTTGACAAATGGCAGCTACAGGAACCAGCAATTGCAGAAGGAGCAACCACCGCCTCTCTCAGGGCTCTGGCATTTTTATACTCTCTCAAGCACTTCCAGAATTCCAAACGTAAACTACCTTCAGCTGGAAGAATCATGACCCTGCCAGAGCCCAGGATAAATCAGTCAGCTGCTGTGGATAATCTGAAGGAGCCCCATATTCCACTCCTGGTAGTAAAACAGAAAACATATTCACATAACATAATGGAATTTTTAAGAAACCAAAATATCACTACAGGGTTAGGAAGAGCATTTGGCATCATAAAGTCTCGACACCAGGGACTGAGTGATCCTGAATAAGAGGATCAAACAGACCAGATGCCCAAAGGATACAGAAGTTCTCTGTTCCAGCGAGATGGAGTATCCTCTCTTTCTCTCTCTCTCTGTCTCTCTCTCTGTCTCTCTCTCTCTGTCTCTCTCTCTCTCTCTCTCTCTCTCTCTCATGTATGTGTGTGTGTGTGCACTTTCACACACTGGGGAAAGCACAGGACTGTTCTTGCTCTGATGGTTTTTTAAATACATCTTTCCCACTAAAGAATGGAAGTTTATCCTCATTCTCAAAGAAAAATAACTAATCAGAAGTATACCCTACCTATCACTGGCCAAGAGGACTTTATTACTTACCTTTAACACTGCTGTGTCCAAATATCTGATGAGAACAGCTTAAGGGAGGAAGGGTTGATTTCGGCTTACAGTTCAAGGGGAGGTCCATTCTGGTGGGGAAGGCATAGCAACAGGAGCATGAGGCCACTGCTCATGCCACATCTGCAGTTGGGAAATGTCAAAAGAGGAAAGCTGGATCTCAGCTTGCTTTCTTTTTTTATGCACTTTAGGATCCCACCCACAGAAGAGGGCTACTCACAGGAAGGGTGGATCATTTCATCTCAGTTTACTGAATCTAAAAATTCTTTCAAAGACATGCTCACAGGCTCATCTCTTCGATGATTCTAGAGCATGTCCAGTTAATCAATATTAACTGTCACAAAGACTTTCTGGGTAGGAGTTCCTGGATAGTGTGTACCCTTAATATGCACCTATATAACTGCTTTGTCCCTTCTGTTGGGGAGGAATATCCATCCCAGAACCTTCATTCTGTGAACCATGTAGTTGAATTGGATTCCTACCAATGCAGGATACAGAACTGTGGACAAATGACTCAGGGATTGGTATTGTCTAGTGCTTCCCTTTATTCCAGGCAGTTCCAGAAACTTTTACCCTTTCTTTGGTGTCTCTATGCTTAACACAGGCAACTTTTTGTCAGACAAAGGTGAGACTTATAGGAAACACTCTTTCCAATCCTCTCCACTGGAAAAATAATGAACACTCTGAAGTAAGTCTTCTTGCTATACTAACTCCATCTAAAAACAACCTATTTGTATAAGAAAGTTCAGATGTAGGAAAAGTACCTCCAGCATAATTTTTCCTCTTTCTCCATTTTGCTGATGTCTGGCAGAATATCCTTTTCCTCTGCCTCTCTTGATGAATTTGGGCATCACAGTAACTTCGGTTTTCCTTGGAGGGTTATTGACGGCATTCTATACAATCAGCACTTCTCTTCCTGGCCCTATGAAAGATCCAGGGGCAAAAATAAAATTTTTTAAACTTGTGTCTGGAATGTTTTTATGGCCAGTGTCACTTCCCAGATGAAATGAATTTCTAGAATAAATTTCTTACTACATGTATATATGTCTGTAAATAATATTTTGGAAAAATCATCAGCCACATACAACAGGGAGGGATCCTAGAATCATATAAGGCTGAAGTAGGCTACTCTCAAAGTAGCAAGACTTGCACTGGAAGCAAAAATTCCCTCTTGAGACAAACCTCAAGGACATGAAACAAATCTTGCCTCAGCTTTGAGAAAACACAAAGTATCTTTGTTGTAATCTGATCAAGAAGCAAAAAGGAGGTTTAAATACCATGTAATTAACAATGTGCCAAGACCTACCAACACAAATAAAAGACACTTTAAATGTTTTTAACGTCTAAATGCCTACACTTCAACTCTAACATCTTGGGTTTTATATCTTCACAGAACTCTCCCAAACTCTTTTGCCCTAAAAACCGAAGCTTTGACATCGATGCCATCTACAGTGTGATTGATGATGCCAAACAGTATGTGTACATTGCCGTCACAGACTACCTGCCTATCTCCAGCACGAGCACCAAAAGGTCAGGAACTTCCCAATGTGTATCATGTGGTCCTCAGGCCTCTGGGCTCTGAGATGCTGTCATGCTGTATCAGGAAGAGCACACACTCTTCCAGTGTCCCTTGTATGCAGCTGCAATTTTCCCATGATGCCTTTCTTCTTCTAGTGGGTCCAATTTAAATGTTCAGTGTCACTAGTTTATCCCACAATTACAGAAACAGTCTCAGAAAGAAGGTTGAGTAATTAATAGAAAATTGTATCCCTCTGTGCCTTCATTGCGAGGGTAAAGGAGATTTAAAACACATGCTTTCAAAAGCAAAAAGGAGGTGGGGGAATGGTTTAAGGGGTTTCTAGGGAGGGGAAATGAGGAAAGGGGAACGCATCTGAAATGTAAATAAATAAAACATCCAATTTAAAAAAAAATAAAATACATGCTTTCAGAGAGCGTACCCTTCTGAATGAGAAGGTTATCTTTACAGTGGATAGCTTCTCAATTCCTATTTGATCACACTGTAACTTGGAAATGATTCAGGGACAGAAGATACCACACAGCTTCAGGGAAAATAATCACACATAATGCGGAACCACACCCAGGCATTCCCGCTCTTGCTTGCTGGAAGGGCAGCTCTTTGGGTGCTTGTCAATGTATTCAACAATTAAGTTTAACCAGGAAATGCTTTTCAAAATGTATGTTTCTGACTGCAAATGAAGACCTTCATCATCCAGAAAATTATAATTTCAAAGTAGCCATTTAGTTAGCTTAAAAAATTAAGTGTGCCAAATATTACTTGAATACTTTTTCATCTTGCCAATCTCACATGTGCATAATATGTAGCATCTTTATGCAAATGGTTGTAAGACTGCAAAAAACCCTGCCAGAAACGCATTGCTTTGTGACAGTGGGAAAGCATTTTGAACCTTAAGACTCACATTATTAAGGCTGAACTACTTGTCTGCCTTTTGAATGTTCATGGATTTTCCCACACACTCTCCCATAGTCCTCCTCTTTGCACTCCTCTCATTTCATGGGTTTTTTTGTTGTTGTTTTTTTTTTTTTTTTTTTTGGCTTTAGTCTAAATTTCAGATGTCTGCTTCTCTTTGGAAACATACCGCACACATGGTGTTTGGTTGTCCTATAACCAAAGAGGATGGGGGCCAAGTTTATGGGGTTCTAGTATGATGATGGCCAAGACTAAAACTTTGTTCGATGGCCTCCCATGGGCATAGCAGGTCTTCTATAGGGTGGGAGTTTGTGGTGGGTGGTGGTACACACTTATAACCCCAGACCTTGGGAGGCTGAGAAAGGATTTTATGAGTTCAAGATCATCCAGGACTACATAGTTTAAAACCAGGCTAGGCTACAGGGTAAAACCTTGTCTCAAAGAAACTAAAATCTTACAGTTATAGGAAATGTAAAGAATGTTAAAGAGACAGAGAAACTGAAATGTTAAAGAACCAAACAGAAATCCCATATCTTAATTATCATTCTGGCTATTATTTAAATAATGTAAGTACTTCCCATGCAGTGTGTGGAGATGCCATGACGAAACTTACTGTTCTGTGTGCTAACCTTAAAAAATTAATTTAAGAAAAGAAACATTTATTCACCTCAAATATAGAGAGACTCAACAAACCAAAGAAAGATTCCACTAAACCCAGCTCAGCAAATAAATAAGCTTATTGGGGCTATCTACATGGATGTGATAGAAATAAAATATCAAACCTATACTCATAGCTTTCAAAACAAAAGAGAAATGTGAAGATCAGACATTTAGATTATAATTAAATTCTTCTCAACTGTATGAATGAAATTTATTTAGAAATCAAAATGGCCTTGTGTTTACATAATCCTAAAAGAAAGGGAGGTTCAAAAGTGAATTCAGTGTGTTTGTAGAACTAAGTTAAGTATCTTCGACTTAAAATATAGTCTCTTCTCTGACAAATACCTAAATGAAAGATGATAAGTCATGAACTTTTGAGTCAGAAATTATCTAAACAGACATTGTCTGTTGGAAAGGATGTTGGAATTTCTGCCTTTCAGGGTAACAGCGAGTCTCAGAGTGATGCAATAAATCCTTCAAAGAAAAAAAAAATCAGAAGCCCAGACAGAGAGCCTTTGCCTAAATTTGCAAGTTTCTGAGTTTATCCCAAGCACCATAAACCAACAGGGACAGCCAAAAGTAAGAAATGAAAGCAAGGCACAATGGCAGATACACATGAAGGTGCCATGGTGAAACTTGTTACCTTTGATGCTAAACTAAAACGTTATTTTTTAAAAATTACAATGAGGGCTGGTGAGATGGCTCAGTGGTTAAGAGCACTGACTGCTCTTCTAGAGGTCATGAGTTAAAATCCCAGCAACCACATGGTGGTTCACAGCCATCTGCAATGATCTGATGCCCTCATATGGGTGTCTGGAGACAGCTACAGTATACTTACATATAATAAATAAATAATCTAACAAAAAAAAGATGACTGTGAAAATATTTTAAAAAATAAAATAAAAATAAAAAAATAAAAATTACAATGAAAAGAAAAAAAACCAGAAAGGCTGATTTCAGTTGTTCCTTTGAGAACAGACAAGCACTCTTTCTTTCCATGATTCACCACCTAGGTCTCCGCTTAGAGCTGTCCTTGATTTGTCTTCTCAGTAATGTGGCACGCATCTTTCAGAAAGAGATAGGTAAATGTGTGAAGGACTAGGAAAAATGTGACCTGATTCTCCTTTAAGCTTCAGTAACCCTCTCCTCCTGCAGTTTAACCAGAGTCTGAAAATATCAAATGGAAAGTTCCAGAAAAAAAGCAATTTATGGAAGGGGATGAGTATGATCAAAATACATTTATGAAATTATCAAAAGAGCAGTAATATATACTTTTAAAAAAGAATTTATGAGTTTTAAATAGATTTTATCATAGTATATTATATTGCTAAAATTGTATTAGTTGTTATTGCGAATTCCTTATTTGCCGAGTCTGCATATTGAAGAACAGAAGTTTTCCAAGCTTCCGCTTGGCCGGGGGTGAGGGGGAGGTGTCCCTCTCAATCCTGAGAAACTACTGTGCTAACTGTTCTTATTTAACAAGTGTCTGTTGATATGTATGCATTTATGATTAAAGCGTGAACACACATGGTCCCTGAAACGCCACCTGAAGGGGGCAAAGAGGCACAGGGAAGGCTGCTAGAACACAGATGTGTATATGGGAGTGAAGGTTTGTACAGAGAACAGGACCCTGAAAGGCACCCACAGTGCCATGCCAGATTTAGAGGGATTTTTCCAGGTGGAAGGGACAGATGAATAAACATCAGGAGGGAGAAACAGGCCTGCCAGGTTCTGTGCTGGGTCAAGAGCCTAAGGCAAGTCTCTGGAAAACCACACTGGAGAGGAAGCAGGGATTGGGGGCAGGGATGGGAGTAGAGAAGGCTGCTTGCTAGAGAGTCTCATGATTTGGGGGAGGCTCTGGTGTTCTAATGAAAGGAGTAACAGTACCACACTTGCTTTTAGACAGTCACATTGGTGGTCACAGGGATAAGAGCTGAGGCACAGGAACCAATGTAGAATACAAGACTGAGGTGACTGTTTCCCGTAGTCCCTGGAAACTGACAGAAATCTACCACTGCCCAGGATTTAGGTCATACAAGGATTAAGAGGAAGGTAGAGGGACAAGTGCCCAACAGGTGGGCATAACTGGAATTGGGTTTCCCAGGCAAGAGTGACAAGGAGAAGCTGAAGAAGCTGGAAATTGTACATCTGTAACCCACCAGGACTAAAGAACAGGCTGTATGTGATAAGAGAGGGAACTCCCAGAGCAGGAGGGTCAGATACAAACAGCAGCCTCTTGGAGATGCTGTGGTTATAATACTAACAGGCCACCATGCCCAATAACATGGCCTGAGTCCAAACAGTGACAGTGCCTGGAATAAGGGCAGTATTTGAGTGAGAAAATAGAATCCCAACAAAGAGATGAGAGAAGATAGCATGATTTGAGGGTTAGTTAAGACAGGACAATGCTCTGATTTGTCTTAACATGGCACTTCTGAAGTGACTTGATGGAAAGTAGAGACAGCAGAAGGCTACACGAACTCCTTAAGACAGGGGACCAAATGGTAATAGAAACACACAGCAAGAGCCAAGAAGCCATGCCTTCCAGAGACTCAGCGTGAAAAGAAGCTTAGGTGATAGAGGAAACTGATGGAAGATTCTAGCATCCAGCTCAAAGGAGAGAGAGAGGAGCTGTGGGAGGCAGGGTTGGGAAGGTGGTACTAAGGACCATCAAGCATGAGACAGCTCAGATAACCAAACAGAAGTCCATTGGTGACCGGGGGTGTTTTCAAAGAATCCCCATGACATGGGGATGGCATGACATCCAGGAGGAGGGACGCAAGGCTCCTAGCTAGAATTCCACTAAAAAATGAATGCTTACACCATGACGAGGCCTGGACAGTCTAGTGACGACAACCCAGAGTGGTGAGTCCATCTGATTACTAGATACACATAGCTTCAGCCTATGGACCTGAGATCTTCTATAAGGCAACAAAAGATTCCAGAAAAGTCTCATCTCTTGGTGACTAACTCCAAAGGCCTGTATCATCATCAATCTGCGAGATGGTCGACTTGTTACAGAATAAAGTAACACGAAAAGTAACAACTAAACATTCCATTGTCTTGTAAAATTTCTTTCACAGATAGTTTTCTTTGTGTGTCTTTCTGCAGGACATACTGGCCAGATTTAGATGGGAAAATAAGAGAAGCGTTAGTTTTACGAAGCGTTAAAGTCCGGCTGCTCATAAGCTTCTGGAAGGAGACTGATCCCCTCACATTTAACTTCATTTCGTCTCTTAAAGCTATTTGCACTGAAATAGCCAACTGCAGCTTGAAAGTTGTAAGTGTTATATTGACTGTGTTATTAAATAAAAAGGGGTTATTCCCTTTGCATGTCTATGAAAGCTGTTGGTACACACACACACACACATGCACACTCACATGCACACATATACACGAGAGGGGAGTGCATGTAGAGCCCAGAGGTCAACATCAGGTCTCTTCCTCAGTAACTCTCCACCTTATTGTTTTGAGACAGGGTCTCTCACTGAATCTGAAGCTCACTGATTTGGCTGGAGTAGCTAGTCACCAAGTTCCATGCACTCCCTGTCTCCATCAGTCCCCCAGGACTGATGTTATTGACAGCTGCCTGCCAAGCTTTATGTGGATGCTAGGAATCCAAACTCAGATTTTCCTACATGCAAGGCAAGCAGTTTACCTCCTAGCCATCTCCTCAGCCCCTTCAGTACACACTTCATCAGAACTGCTTTCTTCACCTACTATTTGTAACATTGACAAAGAGTTGAATCATCCATCAATACACATGGACCCTGCCCACTAATGCGCTAGTCCAGACTCCTGTGCTTGCTCCAGTCTCTTGTGTCACATGCTAATCTATCTCAGGACGCCTAGAGGAAAGCAAAGTGGGGAACTGCTGGTTCCTTGTTTCTGTGACTTTTGTCACTACGATGACAGAAGACCTGACAAGAAGCTATTTAAAGGAGGAATGATTGATCCGAGTCCACAGTTCTAGGGTGGCTAGGACTCGTCCCAGGAGCTGGAGCGAATTGACAGTTTGACTTATTCCATCCCGCCCTGTCATAAAGTACAGATCTAGGACTGTTTCTAGGGACAAGATATAATCCATAAATCCCACTCCTGACCATGAACCTACCTCTTTAGATAGGCCCTCCTCCTAAAGGTTCCCCATCCTCCCAAAATAACACCACCCACTAAAGACTAAGTGTTCAAAACATGAGCCCATGGGAGACATTTCACATTCAAACCATAGAACACATGAAATGTGTGAACGTAACTCTCATGTTCCTCTTCGAGGTTTCTTGCCTCCTCCCCTCAGGACTTTTGTGTGTGCTTTCCTCTCCAGAACATCCTCCTCCACCTTCATCTGACTGTGCATATTAATCATTTAGGCCTCAGTTTTCAAACCAAATCTCCTATGCACTCAACAGCTGTGTATCGAGACCACACTCTCTGGCAGGCTTGTGCTTCCTGAGGCATTTGTCTACATGTGATGCCAGGGTCTCTGAAGTATCCGTCTTGAATCAGTTTCCAGCAAGTTCCTGACCATCTGTATCCCAGAGACAAAGGGGAGTAGTGGGAGACTTGAGGGTTGGGCCTAGAGGTGGTTTTCAGCTTTTGTTCCATTACAGACATTGCTCACAGGGTGATACCAAAGGACAAGGGAGGCTTATGAGTATGTTCAGAACAGTACCTGTGCCCCACCTGGTCAAAGGAATAGGCTTAAGGATTACCCTGGTAAGACAGTCTTAGCACCAACTATCTGTTTCCCTCTTCCCACAGAGAACCCTAGAACTTCCATCCCTACCTGTGTACAACTCTACACTTAACTGTTTAATTTTAAAAGCTGAAGCAGACACTCCTATGTAAATAAGTTCATAAATCATTGTAAGTGTTGGAAATATGAAAACAGGTCTGTGACTACCGCCAATTATCTGTCTCATAGGTCAGATTTAAAAGAGTAAATGACATGGCCATAGTATGGATGCTAACTGGGATGCAAAGTCAAATACTGGGGATGGAGGCAGACCCTAATAACAGGGAGCCAAGAAAGGCCTGAAAGACCACCCAGCTGTGTTTGATAACTCTTCATAGAGAAAAGAATGCTGGGATTGATTTTGCTCAGGGACAGCATCATCCAGGACACTGAAGTGGCATTCAAGACTCCAAGGAACTCAGAAGATGCAGAAACCAGATGCCTAGTCACTATCTGTTCCTAATGCCTGGCGTGAGGCTAGTAGTGTTCAAAGTATGTGCTAAAGTGGTAGATTCACAAATGAAGGCAGTAAATGAAAAGGTCTGAGAAAGGCAATGATAGGAGAGATTCTATCATCAGTTAGGAGGCACGAGAGAGCCTAGAGACCAAGGCTTTTCTGCCCAGTGAGTCTCACTGTGGCTGTCTGCAGAAGCATGGCTGGAAGCTCGTTTATAGGAGCATAGTCCCCCCGCCCCAATGAGTAGCTATGCCCCTAAAGGAAATGCTTCTCCCTTCCCCCTTCACCCATGAACTGCTTATAAATAATCAGGGGAGTGTGAAAGCATATGATCCCATCCCACCACACCTCTACCCCCACTTCACTTCCAAAATGGAGTGTTGACAGACCCAATTATATAGAAATTTTGTGCATATTATCACAACATTATTTTTTAATTTTAAGGATGTAACAGGAAGGTCATTCCCAAAAATGTAAGGGTTTTCCACCTCTCCATGCTCCTTCTCTCAGCTCTTACATACTTTCTGATGTTCCCTGTGCCTTGAAGTATAGATGTTCCATCTACTGGACATTTAATAGTCATTTCTTCTCAGCACTTTGACCAATCATGAGTCTCTGTATTAACTACTGACCACTGCAGAAAAATGCTTTGCAGACCAAAGCTGATTGCAACATTAATCTGTGTACATAAACATAGCTATTTGAAGGCAATTTGACAGGCATATCATGCTCATTAAGCAAAACAAAGGCAATAGCTTTCCTAATAGGGCTTATGGCCTCCGAAGACATGGGCCTTTGCCTGGGTTTGCAGTACCAGACATGGCTCCTGTGGCTCCTGTGGATCAAGCATTTCCCAGAGTTTTCTTAATTGTCTTCTATGATCTGGAATCCCCAGTGTGCATCATGCATCCTGGAGGTCAGTGAGGGAAATCAGAGGATCTGCTGTCAAGTTAATGAAGTTTCCAGGAGCTTGTGCATACAGCCTGACACATTCACTCCCATGGTTACTCTTGATTTCCCTTCATCCAAAGTCAGGGGTCTTCCTCACTATGCTGCTTCCTGATTCACGGCATTCTTGAATCTAAGGCCCTTGCATCTGAAATCCTACAAGGTAAGAAAATTCCATGATAGGAGCCCCTGAAAAATTCCATCAGTGTCACCATTTCGACACAGATGGTCATGAATCTTTAATAAACCATACATTAATAGCTCACTGCTGGCCATTTTATAAAACAGAGGCCATGTATTTTTAAATGTCAAGACAAGCCTGGGTGGGAAGACAACTTATGGCCCCATCTAGGACACAGATGGCTAGTAAGCACTTACAAGAAAAGTAGGGTATAGCAACTTTGGAGACAGTATATCTTCAGGAAGCATGGAGCCCTGACAAGGCAGACAGCTGACCTGAGACTCGGCAGGTTGTTCTGACCCTGGAAAGTAGATGCTTGCATCACCTATCCAGATGTGGCTTGATATCATTGAGGAAAACAGAGAGACTGCTGCTTAGAAAATTGTCTCAGTTCAGGGCTACAGAGATGGCTCAGCGAATAAGAGCATTTACTTCTCTTGCAAAGAACCAGAGTTCAGTTCCCAACAGCCATATAAGATGATTCGGGTGACTTACAACCATCTATACCTCCAGCTCCATGGAATTAGACACCTCTGGCCTCTGTAGATACTTGCATTTATATGCATATACTCACACTTCAACATACATATACACATGCATACATACATACATACATACATACATACACATAATTTTTAAAAAATTTAATCCAAAAATAATATTTATTATAGCTGACTTGAGTTGGTTTATTTAATAAATTATCCAATTCTTTTTGGTCATTTTGCTTTTCTTCTAACACATTAAGACCTCTAATAATGTCAGAGACTCTCATCTGGCTTCTGCTGCCTCATCAATCTCCTAGATAGAGCTCAGAACAGAGTTTGGGAGAACATCTGGAACCTTAGTGAGCACCAGGTTATCCTTCCCCCACCATGAAGCATAATGCTAGACCAACTCTCGATATCTCTCCAAACCAAACAGGGACAAGCAGACCTTAAAAATTACACAAAATTATCCATGAAGACTCATCTCCCACAGACGCCCTCTGCCTCTTCTTCCCTCCCAGCATACAGAGGCCAGAGATGAATGACATTCTAGAATCCAAGTTCTCCACTGCAGTGGAGATCTGAAATCCTTGTCTTCAATGTGTATCTCCTCTAAGCTCAGTCCTTACAGTCCCATGGGCTCATTCACAATGGACACCTAATCCAATACTGACCAAATTTCTAAGGCCTTTCCTCTCTATAGCTCATTTCCCACATTCCTCAAATTCCTCCATTTGGGGCCTTGGGTGAATTAGACTCATCATCATCCTCATCTGGAGTCACACTGACATTAGAATTACATTGTTTGAATTTTTAATTTTTTTTAAGTTGCCTATTCAAAAATGCCCTGAAGGTGTTCCAACAGAAACTATTTGTTCTTGTGGCAAAATCTCTTTTGACCTTTGCAGATTTTCAGATGAATCAGTTAGTCATTGACATAATGTATGTACTGGGTAAGAATATTCATTCAGTTCGTTGTCATGCATGACGCAGAGCACCCGGAGGCTGCTGCCAGTGCCAGTGTGCCCTGCTGAATAAGACCATGAGAATTAAGCAGACTTCTATCCCTCACCCTGCTCAGAAAATGAATTTTGTGTTCATTTGTTAGCTTTGCAGAGTTAATTATAGAGCTAGTTGAACATGTTAATTTTCTTTGTTGTTGCCTATATGGATGGAGGGTAAAAATAGCTTCCTCTGTACAAAGTAACAGGAGCGCCATTTTAATAACCCAATATGAGGTCTATTGTTGATATTTGGATAATAGACTCCTTTGTGCTTGTGAACAAGACCCAAAACATTCTCAATTGACCTGCTTTGCTTTCTTACTTTTCTTTTGTCTTACAGAAATTTTTTGATCTGGAAAGAGAGAATACTTGTGCAACAAAAGAACAAAAGAACCAGACCTTTCCCAAATTAAACCGCAACAAGTACATGGTGACAGACGGGGCAGCTTACATTGGTAGGTATGGAGCTTGAAAAGCTCTTCAGGGGTCACAGGAGGACAGCAGGGGGAGGTGACACCTTGGAAGCCGTAGCCATTGACGAGGTTGTGCAGATAAGAAGCAGGAGGCTGGGGCTGGAGAGATGGCTCAGTAGTTAAGAGCAGGGACTGCTCTTCCGAAGGTCCTGAGTTCAATTCCCAGCAACCACATGGTGGCTCACAACCATCTGTAATGAGATCTGATGCCCTCTTCTGGTGTGTCTGAGGAGAGTGACTGTGTACTCACATACATTAAATAAATACATCTTAAAAAAAAAAAAAAAGAAGAAGCAGGAGGCTGGAGCCAAGAGCTCTTCAGCCCCAGAGACCCTCTCTCTACTCCACGGCTGAAGATCACGGAAAACAGTTTTCATCTACACTCTGCAGACATTCTCTGGTCCATTTGGCTGATTTTATAGGTGAGGAGGCAAAGGCCTCATCAGAGGTGAGTTCCAGCAGGGGACAAACACAGTGTTCATCCACTTGTCTACAATGTCATGGGACACCCCATCTTGGGGTTCTGGGGAGTCATTATCCTGTCTGGGCAGCAAAGACATCCATGTCATCTTCTTAGGACACCTCTACCATTGTCTAAATACCTAATGTGGAGCAATTCCCTGGAGCTCCCTGAATTTCAGTTTACTGACTTGTAAGATGAAGCTTGTGTCAGTTTTGACTTTATAGGGTGACGTTTAAATGAGAGATAATATACACAAAGCACCTGGCATGTGGATGATGCCCAATTAATGTTAGTTCTTATTATTAAGGCAATAAAGTTCTATCATTACATTGGTGGGATTATTCTAAGTCTTCACGGTGTGTGGGAGGCAAGGGTAATTCCTTCACTAGAGTTATCACAGATAGAGCTGACATTCTCTATAAAACCTGAAGATTATTACATCACACAGGTGAAGCGGTGGGCTCCACAGAAAAGAAAAACACATTTGTGGGATACAAGAATGAATATGAAATCCATATCAATTATTTCTCTAAGTTTCATGGGTGAATTAAAAAAAAACATACTTCATGAAGCCCTTTTGCACTGCTACCAATGGAGAGAAGATTCTAATCCAGGTTTAGAAGTAAGGATATGGGGTGTGAAGAAGGAGGTAACTTGGCCAAACAGGTGTCTAGCTCAGGCTATGAGATCACTGCTATTTCAGAACCAGAATATCAGTCTCTATTTTTCCTAATTATCCCATGCCTTCTTAAAAATAGAGCATTTAGATTTTCCTTCTCTCTCTCTCTCTCTCTCTCTCTCTCTCTCTCTCTCTCTCTCTCTCTCCCTCCCTCCCTCCCTCCCTCCCTCCCTCCCTCCCTCTCTCTCTCTTTAATACATGGGGTTGCAGAGACAGCTGACTGATCAGTAGCATTTACTACTTGTTCTTTTGGAGTTCAGTTCACAGCACTTTTTGTTGGGAGTTTCACAACCTCCTTTATCTCTGGCTCCAGTGGATCTGACACCCTCTTCTGGCCTCTGAGGGTACTACACTGGCATGCACACATCCGTACACAGACACATACAGATATGCACAATTAAAGATAAAATACATTTTTTTAAAGAAGATTTTTTCAGGCATGTGGTCCACACTTTTAAACTCAGCACTGAGCTGGTGGAGGCAGGAGGATTTCTGTGCGTTCAAGGCAAGTCTGGTCTACATAGCGAGTTCCAGAACAGCCAGGGGAATACAGAAAGACTCTGTCTCAAAAAAAAAAATTTAATATGTAATTGTGATTGTTTTACATTATAAGCACATTCAAAGGTGATTCAAAATGATATTGGTTGAATTTCCTCATTTTTCTCAGTTTATGGAAAATAAAATTAAACTAGCTTGGCGGGGTGGGGGGGGAGTTGGTTTTGGTTTTTTTGAGTCAGGGTTTCTCTGTGTAACAAGTCCTGGCTGTCCTGGACTTGCTTTGCAGATCAGGCTGGCCTCCCTTGAACTCACAGAGATACACATGTCTTTACTTCCCAAGTGCTGGGATTAGAGGCATGCAATACTACTCCTGAACTTTTGTTTTGGTTTGGTGCTTTGAAGCAGGGTTTCTTTGTGTTGTCCTCTCTGTCCTGGAACTTGCTCTGTAGACAAGGCTAGCCTTGAACTCACAGACATGCATCTGTCTTTACTTCCCGAAGCATGCACCACCACACCAGAGCTAGCTTTTTTTTTCTGTTTGTTATTTCTTTTTTAAGCAAGTAACAAGGAACAGAGAGCTGATGGCTCAGCAGTTTAGAGCACTTGATGCTCTTGCAGAGAAGACCTGGGTTAAATTCCTAGAACCCATTAAGGGGATCACAGCATCCACTAATCCCAGTTCTAGGGTATCCACTGCCCTCTTCTGACCTTTGAGGACACCAGGCACGTAAGTGGCACACATATATACATGCAGGCAATACATTAAAAATATTAAATAAATAAATAATAAACAACATAAAAGTTTGAAAAGCAAGTAAAGAAAAACCACCAAAATTGCTTACTAAAAAATAGAAACTTCTAGCTAAATTAATTAAAACTTAGAGATGAATCCAGGTGTACTCAGTTGCTTAAGACCCCAAATCAAGATATTTTATTGTAGCTTTTATTAAAAGTAAGGTATCATGTGTACCTTCAGTGACTCTATAACCACAGAAGAAAACAGAACTCAACCAAGACCAGATGTGGGCTGGCAGTAGATTGTAAACTAATGTTTATTGATTTTGAAATGGCTCACCTGATATCCAAACATTTCTTGGACAAATTAAATAAATGTTTTGGAATCAGAAAAATCTATATTTGAATTACAGCACTGATACAAACTGGGAGATGGCAGCAATCCATGCAATCTCTTATAAGCTTCAGTCTCCCTATCTGTGAAAGGGGGATAATAGCACCCATCCTTTGGTGGTGGTGTGGTGATTAAATGAGATAATATATGAATGGCTCTAAACAGGGTCTTAGTAAACATGGACTAAGACATTATTAAATAACTTCATTTTATAGACAACAGTTTTAACAAAGCACTGACTCTCTAGAGAGAAGCAGAGTTCCAATACAAAAATATTCAAAGCACATAACAAGGGAAATTAAATGATGACTTAAATAATTCCTAGCATGCTCTGAGATGTCCTAAGTAATTTCTTAGATACTCATTGATAGTGTGGAACCAAGAAAAATCTCAGGGTATGGGAGTATAACTCCATGAAGTTTGTATGAGACTTCCAGAAGACTCTTCAGACAGCATGGTCTCATTTTAAATTGTCCACAATGTATCTGAGTTAAGGTTAGAAATTTTGTTAGGGAGGTGTCTGAGCAATTAGTCAGCTAAGGAGGGATGGTGAGGTTGATTGAAGGTGCTGGAAAGATGCCCAAGGCTGCCTACCAAGAAGGTGAGCTTTCTGGCACCCTAAGAAAGACAGACAGACAGACACACACACACATACACACACATACATACACACACACATACACACACACACACATACACACATACACACACACATACACACACACACATACACACACACACACAAACACAAGAGGGGGTGAAGGACACACTACATTCTGGATATTGAAACCTTAGTGTGCATTCTGAAAAACTAAAATAGTCTAAAAAAAAATAAAAGGTAAAAAACAATTATAGCCCAGCTTCAAAAATATTATGGAAGCATGTCACCTTGAAGGTCCGCCAAAATCTCTGTGTCAGCATGAAGTTTCCCAGAGCTGCTGTGAAAGAAGCCCACTAAGGCTTGCAATCCACAAACAGCCTGCTCTTGGCTCATTCTCTGTACAGCAGGGAAAAGGCGAAGTTTACAGGCTAAGGCCCCAAACTCCTCACCCCCTCTGTCGTCTTTTCTCTTCCCAGGGATGCCCCTCTATGCCCCTTTAGTATTTACCTATGTGTGTTTTCTCCAGAAATTTTGATCTTCCAGCACATACAGCAGAAATCTCAGTATGGCTGCAATGCCCCAGAGCCTGAGCTGAAGTCGTTGTCCAGGGTGAAGTGGGCAGTGGATGCCTTTAGGGTCAAAGGTGAAGTGCAGGCTCTGGAGTTAAATTTCCTTTGAACTGCAGCTCCAGTAGTTCTCGATGAAGCACTGTTGGTTAGCCATGAAACATGGGACAGCTGTATGGATCTCTGTGAACATCTCCTCTCTCATGGCAAATCCCTCCCATCATACAAAATATTGTACATAAACACAAGTACTATGCTTTGCCCAAAGTAGACAGTAACTCATAGCTGCTCTTCCCTCAGATTCCCTTGCAGCTTGACTACATCCCCTAATATTCCTGACTTCCACCCTGTTCTCTGCCCACAAGATATCACCTCCTTCTTAGAATCTGGATCTCTCTTGTCCTAGTTAAGCTTGACGGCGTCTCTTGTTACTCCTCATACAGCTTCTTCTTACACATTAAGCCAGACACAGAAATCCTTCTCACTGGTGCTTGTGGCACTGGGTGTGAAATCCTCATGTGCTCTTTCTTACCATCTGTGTTCTAGTGACTTTTTCTTTCCAGAACTCCTTTTCAGTTTTATAATCTCTTAAAACTGGACCTGGTAGACATTAGGTAACTCAGTGAACAACACGGGAGAATGAAGATCTAATAAATACTTGGCACTGTCCCCTTCTAAGGACAGACCTTGGTTTTGACACCAAAGAGAAATACATGTGAGATAAGCCATGTCCTGTACCTTTGTTTTAGCTGGTGTTCTATGGCTATGAAGAGACACCATGACCAAGGCAAATCTCACAAAGGAAAGTATTTTAATTGGGAGCTTGCTTACAGTGTGATGGGCTTACTCTGTTATCATCATGGCAGAGAGTATGGCAGCATGCAGTCACGTATGGAGCTGGAGAAGTAGCTGAGAACTTTATAACCTAACCCTATTGCAGCAGACACACAGACGGAGAAAGACACTGGAACCGGGAGTGGGTTTCTGAAACCTCAAAACTTACCCCTAGTGTCTTCACTGGGGTTTCCATTGCTGTGAAGAGACATCATGACCAAGGCTACTCTTATAAAGGAAAACAATTTTATTGGGCCTGGCTTACAGGTGCAGAAATTCAGGCCATTTTCAAGGCAGGGAGTATGATGCTGGAAGAGGTGAGAGTTCTACATCTTATTCTGAAAGTAAACAGAAGTCTGGCTTCTAGGCAGCTAGGAGGAGCGTCTCAAAGCCTACTGCCACAGTGACACACTTCTTCCGACAAGGCCGTACCTACTCCAACAAGGCCACACTTCCTAATAAGTGCCATTTCCTGGGCCATGCATGTTCAAACCACCACATCTGGTGATACCCCACCTCCAAGAAGACCATAGCTCCTAATCCTTCCCTGACAGCTATCCAACTGGGGACTAAGCATGCAAATATATGAGCCAATGAGAGTCATTTTTATTCAAACCCCCTGAGCTTTAGAGATACACACACACAGAGAGAGAGAGAGAGAGAGAGAGAGAGAGAGAGAGAGAGAGAGAGAGAGAGAGAGAGAGAGAGAAAGAGAGAGATTAATAGCATCGCCATTATCAACCTCTTCTGAGATGATCCCAACCTGAAAATTTATATGTGGAAGTTCTGATTCCTAGTATGATAATGTAGTTAAAGAAAATCACTCCCAAGTGAGGCCATTGAGGTGGGCATTAATCTAACATGGCCAATGTCCTTTAAAAACAAAATGTAACACAGAGGAACTGTGTATTCGTGGTGCCTCATGCCTGTAATCCTAGCTCTCAGAAGGCAGAGGGGGAAGGATTGCTGTGAGGGCAAGGCCAGCCTGAACTATATAGTAACATCCAGCTTCAAAAACAAAACAAGGAAGAAGGCTAATAAGGGCATGCATAGAGGAAAGATGGTGTAGGGAGACAGGGAGTAAGGTGCCACCCAGAAGGAGAGGGAGTTGAAACGCATCCTCTCCTTCCTAGTTTGCACCCCCAGTCTTGTGAAGAACAAGAGCAAACACAGTCTAGGAAGGAATGGGTTTGTTTCAGCTTGCAGATTATGGTCCAACACCAAGAGAAGGCCCTCGAGACAGGATCTTGAAGCAGCCACCACAGGTGCTACACTGCTTACCGTCTTGATCTCAAAGCTCATGGCCAGCTACCTTTCCTATCCAGCCCAAGCCCACTTACCCAAGGATGCTGATGCCCACAGTGGGCTGAACCCTCTGACATCAATTAGCAATCAAGAGAATGCCCCATAGACATGGCCAGAGGCTAATCTGATGGTGGTAGTTCTTCCTAGAGGTGTTAAGTTGGCAACAAAAACTAGCCATCATGCTTCCCGTAGTTCTCAGAAGGAACCAACCTTGATTTTTGTCTCCAAAGTCATGATAATACATTTCTTCTATTTAAACCAACTAGTTTCTGGCACTTCCTGAAGACAGTTCTGAAAAAAACAAATCAGCCATCTATCCTGGCTAAGCTGCCGGTCCTGCCCCGGGGGATGCCTTCCAGTCTCTGTAGGGAGTGCTGTAGTCATATCTCTGCCTTCTGCTTTGTCTCAATGGTGAAGCATCTCTGCATAATAATGTTTATACATATGGATTCGATGTTGTCTCTTTGAGAAGGTAGTAATTGTTCACAGGATTTTTAAGTGTATTCCTATATATTTTAAATGTTGCTGTATTTAGTGTGTCTTGTGAACATCAATAAAAAATAACATTTACAGGAAAAAGAACAGCAGATTTCTTGTTTTGAGTTTCGACTTGAGCTAAGCTGAAGAAAATGCCAAAATAATATGCAAATATTAATCCACCATATGTGGAGCTTCTTGTAATTTTTTTTCCTCAGGAACTGTCAACACTATTCTGCCTCTCGTTATTCCTGGGTGTTTATTTATTTATTTATTTATTTAGAATCTGCTGTGTATTTAATTATATTGGGAACTTTCCTGGTGGATCATACCTTCTCATCATAATCTTTTTATTTGCAGGAAATTTTGACTGGGTAGGGAATGAGTTTACCCAGAATGCTGGCACAGGCCTTGTCATCAACCAGGCAGATGTGAGAGACAACAGGAGCATCATTAAGCAACTTAAAGATGTGTTTGAGAGGGACTGGTACTCGCCTTATGCCAAATCCATACAGCCAACCAAACAGCCAAACTGTTCAAGCCTGTCCAAACTCAAGTCTCCTTCCAACCAACCTGCCATTTCTAACGCCACGGGGAGGGAGCCCCTGAGTGTATAGTTCACTAAGACACGCAAGGCTTCAGACCAAACGCGGGAAGGACTAGAGGAAACGATTTACTACATCTTTTCTTTTTTAAGGAGAAACAAAAAGCACACTTATTAAAAATGTTCTCTGAATGACATGTAATATCTAGCTAACAACATCTTAGCACCGTATATTAAATTTAAGACTTTTGTATCTATGAGCTCTGACAGAGAATGTTGTTCTGGCGTAGGAGTTAGTTTTTAATGACTGCAAACACATTTTACAACTTGATTCTTGTCTCCTGATTCTTACTGGTTTTAGAATCTTTTCTGCTGACCTACCTGCACTGGTTGTAAGAAGCATAGCATGAAGTGAGCCCTTTCCTTTAATATTGCTGAATTCTGGAATTAGAGGATGGGGCGGGGGGGTGGGGGGAGACACAGACAGAACCAAGCATCTGCTCTGATATATCAGCTCTAAGACCTAGTCAGGCAGCTGAACACAGGCACCTCCATTTCATGCTAGCCTTCAAGACTCCTGAAAAACTCTTGTGTCTGTCCCCTTGTTCCTTGTCTTGTTCTGATACAAGAGGTTATTTTTTGGGGGGTGTCAGTCTGTTTTCTGACAAATATGTTCTGGTTTTACACTGGCCCTGGATTCACCTCAGCGGTTGTTCAAAGAGTGAGAATGTCTTAGGGAACAGTATGAATTCCCCAGAACGTATACGAAATGGAAATCAGTTTTTCACTTTCTCCTCCAATTACATTTTTCCCATCCCAAATTGATTATTTTTAAAAACCACAAAAACCACAGTCTTTTCTCTCTCTCTCTCTCTCTCTCTCTCTCTCTCTCTCTCTCTCTC